AACAAGCGTATTTAGACATGCTTATTAGTTCGGCTTAAATCAACGTTAGAGTTGTTCTAATATTTGCTGTTAGTTTACTTGTTTGCTATATTACGATTCCACTATAGCTCTGAGCGTTTCCTAAATTCAATACAGCGTTAACAATCAACATGAAACGTATCTCATATTTCTGGTTTGCTCAAGTGGTTAAACCAGGAGCAATTCGCATTTAAGTATCAAAAATGCAAGTAAAGTTCCACTTGTATTGAGGCTCCCAGGAAGCCTCGGGGCTAAAAATTTAATTGGAACATTGGAATGATTATCTAATCACGAAAACAATGGACAATAGTGAGAGTAAATAATAAAGTAACACTTACTCGCACTATAGTTTATCTTCTTTGTGTTTATTTTTAGCAATTCTTTTGTGCTGTAAAGCAATATGTTATAGCTGTTGGAACGATAAAACCGAGTTTACTGTCATATTTTATTGATATTATATTTGGAATAAGTAACACTCGCATTGAATTAGATTATGTTTTATTGGAAAAGCGCTCTGAGAGATAAAGTTTTATTTGCGATCAGTTGCTGCGAGTGGATTTCTCTTGTGGGGGTTCACCGTATAAATTTTAAAGGCGAAACTATATTTTTGCTCGTTTTCACGTCAAACCATATGAACCGTGTTAAATTAGTTTGGAAATGCAAGGGCTATTGACAAGTCGTTTCTGGACCCGATATTTTTGTCACCCTAAAACGTCGGTATAATAGGACAAAATGGGGACGGTCAAAGATATCTCTCGAATAATAATGCGAGGGCGAACCGAAGGACTTCAAAACGACAATTCAATTTCTTTGGATGATAGATTTCCGCCAGTAAGCCATAACACGAATCATCTATTTTACACTCACGAATTTCCATTTTACATATGAAAGTCTCCCTTTCTGGTTAATAGGCAATTTTAATACGGTTCGTCAATTTATTATGGCATGCTTCATACAAAATATCATCTCAATATAGTATATTAATTTTTACAAAGGCTTCCCTCCAGAAAAGCAATTTTGCAAAGTAAATAATATACCGAGCAGATCTTTCCGTTCGTCTTATCTTAATAACAAAAAGGAATATTTTCTTTAAAATTTCCCCGCTCTCACTTCATTTCGCTTTGTTCATTATATTTTATTTCCTGATAGAGCGGAGCAGTTCACCTCAGAAGTTATGAATGTTCGTTTGTTCTAATCTAAAAAGAACATTTGGTGATTGAAAGGCATCCGTATGCTAAAGTTGGGGGAGAAAACGTGTGTGTCTACTCCCTGTTGTCGAACGGCCCTTGGGATTAAATTTTACATGTGGATTGACAATAATAACAATATATTTCTAAAGAAATGAGCTTTTAAAGCTCGAAAACCGTCTTTGATGTTGGTATTAACAATCCGGAAGTAAGACACCCCCTTTCTGCTCATCTCGTCGTCGAGTTTTTTACAGAAACTCGCGTATTTTATTTAATGTTCCGCAAAAAAACATTCATTATTCTGCACAATGAACGCGCATGGATTAATATTAAACTTTGATGTTTTAACTGAAAAAGGGATCTTTGAACTTGCTGCTCAGAATAAATAATGAGGAGTGAAAAATGAGCTTTGACGATTGTCGATTTTAGTACTTAATATTATATTCAATAACTACCCGATGAGTCAAGCAAATTACCTACATTTCCTCGAACACTCCACACGTTCACTGGCGCAAACGTCGATACCCGAAGACAAAGAAACATATATTAAAGGCAAGCCCTTCTGCCCAATGAACAATAGAATTAAATTTTTCTTAATGGCAAAAGAAGACTAGGAACAGATTTGTTTGAGTTTAGTTTCGCGATGCATGAGCCATTAAATTTCCAGGGCAATAAATTTTTGATACTAGACCCTAGAAACAGGTACATTGTTAGAATGTAGCACATAGTAGTAGATGGAATCAAGTGCAGTTCTATCAGTTCTATCAAAATTTTTTTTTTAACATTACAGAAATGTGCATGTTCCTAATGCAATTGCGTTATATAAACTCAAGGATACCGCTGGTGACGTTTGTATCGTTGTTATTTCTCCTTTTGTTCCTTGCGAAGGCTAAACATGCACTAATATTCTTTACGACGCCCTTGCAAATGTTTCGATAGCTTTAACCTTGATAAACTTTTATAAAGTTGCCGGAGAGCTGTAGCTTTTAAGCCATTATCGACAACAAATGCATTTATGCAATTTGGAAAAGTCGTCCTTCGATGATATGAATGTGGGGAAAAACATTCCACCTTGAAAATGTATTTAGAAATTCAAGTGCAGACCAAATGACCTATATCTCAGAGAACAAAGCAAAATCGATTCGTTATGATAGAGACGCTATTTTTAGCGCAATTCATTATAAAGTTTATTAGGATATCCCTTTGTTCCTCATTTCTGCTGGATTCTTTATATGTTAGTCGAGTCTCGCTTCTATGGCCAAGCAACAAGTACATATTTCCAAAGAAGACAATTCAATCCACATGGACGTTTTATTAGATGCCACTGAACTCCTTTAAATTTTCTTTTGTTTCGTATTTTATTTTCAATACGAGGGCTGGTACAGTTCAACCAATTGGTTTTTCAGTGTGGAATTTATGGTTTGCTCTTCCCGGACGCTCAATTTACTTTCCAAACTTGATATTTATGTTAATGGAGACCATTAAAACATGACCCAAATAAAATTTCGATTTCTGAAATGGCAATCTTGATTCACTATCAGTAATATCCTGGAGAAAACAAGCCAGAGAATCATGTCCAGCAAATTAATCCACGTTAATTAATCGGTCATTATTAAAAGTTTTCTAACTTTGCCAACGAATTCCGCTAACTGAACAGCTGCCAAGATCTAAGTTAGAGATACATCCGCTCCATAAAGCTCCCGACTATCCCTGGTAAAATAGAGTGCCATAAAAGTTTTTAGGTAAGTGGGAATAAAATGCTACGAACAAAGGTGATCTCTTAAATTCAAAATGGATGCTTTCAGCGGATATTTTCCTAATAAAGAAAACCCTAAAAATTCGAGACAGTATAGTTATTTTTTATTGCCATCAGCACTGAGGGTTCTAAAAATCATCACTTGATTTTCTTTGTAAATTAATTAGTTTCTCAAAAGAAGGTAGAGTAACCGTAAATTGACCTGGTCATTTATCAGCAAAGATTTGAAAAATACCACGGTAAAGCCTATCAACAATTTGTGTTAAACCTCGTGCTCAGTTTCCAAAAAAAGGTTTTCTTCTTTCGTTTTATTTTGGTTTATTTAATCTTTGCACGTTCGCTGCTCAAAACCATAATACTTAGTCGACTGCAAATATTGACCAGGAAAAACCAACATTTCTGGTGTCCGTTTCTTTTTCCTTATCCTTTGTCTTTGGATCAATTACTCAATTTCTCTTCGGTTGGTGACGCGTGCTAGAGACAATATCGGGGTTATTAGGTACAAGTCTAAACAAATAACATCCGATAAATCGGATCTCTCAGGATATTTGAAGAAATGTTTTCAGCCTTGGACTCAAGTAGATTAAAACATACATTTTAACAGTTTATTTAGGTTCCCTTTTATCGCTTCAGTTTTGAACCGGTATCGCATAAAATGGATTTGAAACACTGCGGATTTAAATGAAAAAGTAATCCGAGCCGATAATTTTCGTCTGGTGGTCAAACTTAATTACTTTAATTAAAATTGACCGAACTTTACCGCAGCGGATTCCAGCTTCCTGAGGCTGGGCCAAATTTTCCCTCTCTGGATTTCCAATTTTTGGCTTCGCTGATTAAATAAGGTACGTAACGAGGGGTCATCTATCAGCTCATCCAACCGAAAAAATCCATTTCTCTAATTTTTTTCGGTTTCCTTTGGATAATTTATTTTCCATTGGACATAGCAGAAATGTAACAAGTAATTGTTAGTTGTAAACAATACGATTGCCTGATCATTGAACAGCGAACAGTGATTTATGGCAAATAAGACAGTGTATTATTCAGTTTTAATTTTCCGAAACATAAAACAATTAATGTATACGAACATGATTTCTGTGAATCCACTTATCGTCAGAACGTCACGTTCGGACCATCAAAACCTACATTAGCGCGACCCAATAAAATTTACAATTCACCCCCTTTCAATTAAAATTTAATTATGTATACAGGTTGGCTGATAGTTAAACAATAACAAACGTAACACGATCATGAAATAAACGGCTAGTAACCTAGGCAAACTTATTACTGACCAGAATATATAATTAATGGCTTCAAATGGAATTGGCCTTTGTCAGCAAGATCATATTCCGTGAGACGAACACAACCCTTTACGACATATTGCATTCGATATTTTACACATTGCATTATTTTAGCCACAGGATTCACGCGAAATGACACATTTGTACATTCCCTTGTCGTATTATTTTATTTAGTTAAATGAAGGACCATTAGTTGGCTGTCAGACCGACTCTGCCGGAGCAAAAACAGAAGCTCGTTAACACGTTCTGCCTCAGATCACAAATTTGATAACATCCCGACGAATATTGATAACTTCGATATTTTTAAAATGCAAGCCCATTAATTTATCGGCAAGATAAGGCATTGCACCAGGAATCATACCTCGAAATCCTGCAGATACTGAACTCGATTGATTTTCATCTTTTAGCCGTCTGTATTATTGTAATAAATTACTTGTCTTTTAAACGGCACTAGTTTCTTGAGAGCAAATTGATTAGCTATTATGTTGAGCTACAGCAAATTAGCTTTGCTACTGAATGAATTCCGGCTTTTATATCCAGTGAATAATTACATTTAGGAATGTTTTCCGGGCTTTGAAGCCGTGGTCTATCGGAATTTCTTCCTGACGTTTCGTCCACAACTGCGGTGGACATTTTCAAAGGCGATGAGGCAGTGGGCGAAGTGATCTCCCGTGCTTTCCGACTAAGACTGGTCGGAAGACCACGGCTTCATAGCCCGGAAAACATTCCTAAATGTAATCGCGTTTATGTATGTGCTTAAATTTAAGTTACTCACCCGCATTGGAAAACTGTGGAGAACTTCTTTGCTGCCTGGAGCTCTGCAGTTTTTGCTTTAAAACGAGCAACTCCTGCTCAAGTCTTGCGTTGCCTGCAACGGTTTCTTCAAGTTTTTTCGAGTTCTGCGCCAACATCAAGTGGACTCTGCTGAGCTCATTTTCGAGCATAAACTGCTGCCTTCGCGCTTGCTCGATTTCTTCAGGATTGTTCAAACCCTTCAGTAGACGGTTCCGAAGGCCCCCAAGTGCTCGTTCGATGTCTTCTTTGTCTCGTTGAAGATTGTGAAGGTTTCGAGATTCTTCTTGAATCAAACCGTCTAGTTGGTACAGTTGACGCACTTTTTGTTGAAGTTGTACATGGCTTGGCTCGATTCTGTTCCAGTCTCGTTTTTCGTCTGCTAGAAGTCGTCGCTCCTGCACATACTGGTTGAATTCGAGTTTTTCGCGGATATGCCTGGCAATGTCAGTTCTCTCATTAGGGTTTCTGTAGAGCGATCCTAGCTTTACCATGTTGTCTACTAGGTTTACCAATGGTTTGCGCTTCTCATATTGCTTTTCCAACTCCAGAAGGTTTTGTTTGATTCGCTCCAATTTATGCAGATTTTCCATTCGTTTCATTTGGTCAACATTATGAATGTGGATCTGAAAAAAGTGTGCTGATGTTGGACATTGATATGAAGGTTGATTAGAACTAGATTGAACAAGCAGCCCACGTTGTTAGCGGCACGAAAAGACATGTTAGACTCCACCATGTTCAAGCTGACCAGGATCAGTTTAGGAAGATTGCTGGTTGAAAAAAAGTATCATCAAACCTGAAGACTATCAATTTCGTTATAGCAACTTTCGATAGCCTGAAATGTTTGCGCCTGCTGCCTACGCAATTGGATTAGAAGTAATACTAGTTCCTCATGAGTTCTTCCAAGAAGTTCACCGGCTGATACGTTCATTTTGGTTTTAGGAATTAATTCCTTAAAATTGCATTTACATCAGTATTGTTTAGTTTATAAATAGGATCAATTTTTCAATTATTGCATGGTCCATACTTACATTTTGTGATGTCCTAAATTCTTGATCACGCTCGTACATGCACTGAGGTTGATTACGGGATGAGTAATTTGATCTTATAAATTAAAAATACGTTATTGAGACATTTGTTTTTTATATGCGACTTACATATTGTCATATTTATAAGCTGTTCGGTCTAGATTTGTTACACTTCTGGCTTGCATAGTTTGGATCGTAGGAGTGACGCACCCTTTCGCATTCACTACTCTTGGAAAAGTGTCTCTTCCTAGAGCAGCGTCTTTCGTGCTTATTGATATTGACCCAGAAGCTATAAGAACAGATGAATTTGACATTCACATTAAAATTTGCAACTGCTTCATTTAGGACCAGAGCTTCAAACGTATTTACAAGCACTTTACAAAGTCTGAAATATTAT